GTTATATATTTATGATTCAAAGTATTGTCCATCGCTGGCCACTACTTTCTCCCATCTTTCGGGCGTACGTAGCGTACGAATCCCGCGTCAAAAAACTGGTCATCTTTTGAGGCTATCCACGAATCGATCCAATTTTTTACTGCTTCATAAGACCGGAAGTGCTGGTCAGCCAGGCCGTGTGCCATTGATCGAAACAAGTGACAGTCAGAGGGAGCAACGTCTGGAGAATACGGCGGGTGGGGTAGGACTTCCCATTTCAACGTTTCCAAGTATGTCTTGACCACTTTCGCAACATGGGGTCGAGCATTGTCATGCTGCAAAATCACTTTATTGTGTCTCTCGTTGTTGCGGTCGTTTGTCTTTCAATGCTCGGCTCAAACGCATCAATTGCGTTCGATACCGATCGCCTGTGATTGTTTCAGTCGGTTTTAACAGCTCACAGTAATACACTACGCCGAGCTGGTCCCACCAAATACAGAGCATGACCTTGGACGTCAAAATCACCGTTCTTGAAGCGTTGAAACCACTCACGACACGTTCTTTCACTAATAACGGCCTCACCATAAGTATTTGAGAGCATTCGATGAGCCTCAGCCGCAGATTTCTTCATATTGAAGCAAAAAATTAAAACCTCCCGCAAATGACGAGAATTTGGCTCGTAAACTGACATTTTCAATCGAGAATAACTTTATGATACAGACACAAATCGACTAATGTTTCTATGGGGTTATGTTGATAGATGCCCAAGTTTATTGTATGACGTCTATGATCTATTTATTTCGACCACCACTTACCGCTAAAACCATCTATAGGAAAACGGCGGAAGCAAAGTTGTACACCTAATATATATTTATTATATATATTATATTTATTATATATATTTTTTACTTTATATATATATTGTTTTGTCTTTATTATTTTGTCATATTGTAATTACACGATATGTTATCTTTGATGAATTATCCATTAGAATCCCAAGAAAGTCTGAAGTTTACATAGCGATGTAGACTTCATTTGAATTAAAATAATTTTTTTTCCAACTTTTTATTAGCATTAATATGGTTTGTAATATCACATCGTCTTTTATCGAAAATAATTGTTTCCGATGATAAGTCCATTTACAAAGCATCGACACAGATATATATAGACAGATATATACAGGTATATATAGATACCGTTGTTTCAAAAGTAGTGATTCGCGCGCGTGATGCATTATCAATTAATACTGATTAATAGCTGACTGTAATGAAATCGAGGTTAATCACCACTGGCGTTATTATCGAACAATAATGCGTAACACGTTAATTAATTTTAATTTTTTTAAATATTTTCGAGGACAACTTGATTTTTCTATAATATTTTCTATGTTGCGTACATCAATTAAGTAGGATATTCTTGACTAATGTTTATGTTTTTGGAATGCTTCAATTTACATTCCGCCATCTATTTATGTCTATATATATCATTTAAGAGACTTTCGTTTCCTTTGTCTCTTCTATTGTGAACCGTCACTGTGGACAAACGTATCTCTGCTTAGGAATCATTTAAGTGAGTACTCGCATTAGTAATTCAGAACACGATTTATTTACATTCTATTAAGAGCATATTGTATTGTACATACTAATTCTAAAAGTGTGTACGTCAAGAGATTAAATACATTAAAAATTGTTACATTTAATTTCTTCTTTATAAGCGTCTTCATTATAAGCGGCGTCTACAATGAAATTTTAAGACGTAAAACTTAAGACTTAACTTAACTTTAAATTCTAAGAAATCGAGAAATCACAATCGAATGTGAGAACATTCGACTATGTCATCAGTTAATTTATTACGGCGTAGTGCGTAAAGCTAAGTTTTACGTCTTAAAGTTTCGGTCCACAATCTAGCTTTAAGGCCCAGTTTTTTATTATCTAGTTAACTATCTAATTTAGTATCTAGTAACTTGTAATTCTATAATTAAGCTTCACCTGATGTTTCACCCAATAGGCTTCATGTATAACATCATCACAAATGAAGTCTATTGATTGGATAAAACATCAAGTTAAGCTTAACAAGTTAATTAGGTAAGTCCGGATCTACAATAAATTTGTAAACCTTAAGCCATATTCTCTAAACCTGAATCAGTGGATAATATCAGTGCCAAGTATGCCATGGTAATCAGTGAATTAAATGTGAGATCCCTAATCTAGCTAATCTTTATTGTGTAATCTAATCTATTTTTAGTGCTTAAATTCAATGAACATGGTATTGGAAGATTGAAATTAACGTGCAAATATCAGTAGTTATATAATGCTCAAACATTCGTTCTTTTTTTAATTCGTATGCCACTAGGTAATTAGTGACTATCCACTGATTCAGATTTAGAGAGTAAGAAATGGACGACAGTTGACTATTCTTCTCGCATTCGACTATAATTGATCAATTTCTTACTGCTTAAAACTTAATGTCCGTATTCATAGTCAAATCTTATACTTAAGGCTTCCTTAAATTTATCTTTAGATGCTCAACAGCCAATGAAATAATTCGTACAGTATCTAAAGATAAATTTAAGAAAACCTTAAATATAAGGCCTGATTATGAATACGGGCATAAATTATCTATTGTAGATCCAGGCTAATGAAAAATCGGCCTTAAGAGATCTTAAGCCGTAAGCTGTAAGTGATGATATATCGACCACAGAACTTATGCTTTTAGGCCATAAGAAAAGAGGTTTGCTCAATTCGCTTATAATCTTTTTCGACTTATGACTTAAGGCTTCTTAAAGCAAAGTTGTGAACCGAGACAAAATTTCATTGTAGACGCCACTTTATATTTCACACAAATTTGTTTCAATGCCATGTAACATGGACAATATTGCAATTCTCATTCTGATTGTGAGAATGCTTTGTTAAAATGCAGTGAGAATACAATTTTCAACAGTTATTAGACGTCACATCCATCTACAACTTTCTAATTTTCTATCGTACAATAAATAATAAAAAGGTGATGATAAAATCAAAAAGGATGACTGACTTCCCTCGGCGCGGATATTGCTAACATTATATTAGTCATCGCATCTACGTAGACTTTGATCTGTCGATAGCGTTGTTCTCATGTTCAACCGTAAATGCCTTCTTCCTTAGTTGTACGAAATGAAAAAAGGGTAGGACGGCCAGAGGGGCGAGACAAAAGGGACGTCAGTCAACGGCAACTTGCACGGCTTTTTAGCTCAGTTCAGTTCAAGTCGTCGCGGGCGGTGGATGCATCGCAAGGTGTAAAGCACCGCTCGTTCGTCTCTCATCGTTTCCCCACCGCACCGCTTCCTGCCGCGAGTCTTTGTTATCGGAGCGTATCCGGTGGGATACGTCTAAAACCGTGGTGCATCGCGTATGTTCGGGAGTGCGCCACGACACGTGCAATCGTACGGATCGAGTGTGTTGTGTCTGTCATTCTTGATCGTCTCATTCACACTCGTACTCGCGATCGCTCTGCGCCAACTCCGGAGATGCGCTTCGTTGCATCTTAAGGCTAATTTCGATATTCGCGGAGAGGTTTCTTCAACGACGGCAAAAGGAAACATCGCGAAGTTGGGCAATGTAAGAATCAATGCATCAAAATTATTCTATTCTTCGCTCTTTTCCACAAAAAGAATGGCTGCGTTCAGAAGAGAAAACTAATCAGTTAGAGCTTAGTGATTCTTTAATACGATTGATTCCTACATTTAGATTTAGCGAAAAAACTCAAAAGACAAGACTCAATCATTATCAATTATCGCTAACTAACGATAATTTTCTCTGCTGAACGTAGACAATATCTCTGAAAGAGGCGGTTTCGGTTCTCTGATTTTCGCTGTCAGATTTGCTGGAGTAGAACCTTCGTAAGAAAGAGAGAGATTATTTTTTTAATATTTCCATAAAAGTCTATTTGTGTATTTCCTGGAAAAAACTTGGTGATTTTTATTGCTGCGAGTTTTATTATTGCAACACAATACGGCGTCTCAAGTGTTTCTTATCGAATTAATTTTAAAACATGGAAAATAGTTACATAAAAATTTTGTAAAATATGCAGATAAAATAATAATCGTAAAAATTGTAAAAAAGTCTGTTATAATGATGACAATCGATCAGAAATTGTTCATATACTTGATATATAAAATATTAATTAATAAGATAATTTTATATCTTGTTTTTCCTTCTGCTTTACATATATTTTTATTCCATGTGATCTTTATATGCTAATCGCCTAATCGATATTATATGTTACTGTTAGGAAATTATAGGTAATGCTGGTTTTTGCGTAAATGTGTGTGTGATCTGTGCAGTGATCTATTTTATCAGATGAATGAAATGATAATCGATTAGAATAAACGGCAAAAACCAGCATTACCTATAATTTATACGTTTATAATTACCTATAATTATAATACGTATAATTAATTATTTATGTTTTGTTTCTCGTTATACTACGATGAGAAGTTAATGTTAATGTTAATGTTTACATAATCATTTTTAATCCTTAGTATACATGATTGGATCATTGTGTCTCGCACGTTTCTCTTCTTCGAAAAACTAGATATCAAGTGATTAATTATAACATTTATATACAATTTATTTAAATACACAATCTTACAAATACTTTCTGAAAGATGTTAATGAGGGGCTATTTATCTCTGAAATCAGCGAGGAAATCAATCAACGAAGCAATTCATTCATCATTGAAAGAATTAATTTGAAATAAAAAAGTATCGCCATACGCTCGGTCGCACATTCCGAATTTCTTCCGGAAAACAAAAGAAATCATGTTTGAAATCAACTTTGAAATCATGTTAAAGTGAATATAAGAAATTGGAAATCACTTTTATTATTAGTGATTAAAATATACGCAAGGCGGCTATTAAAATATACGCAAGAATCACTTAATAATTTTTGTATATTTGTTAGAGTGATGAAAATTAATCCCGGAAAATCGTCGTGTATACTGAAGGATTATATATGAAAAATGTTTATGAAAAAAATTTATGCAAAAAATAAATTAATATTTATGCATGGATGACGGTTTTGCTAAGTATCTAAAAATTTAATTTATTAAATATAGATCTGAAAATAATTTTGTTGAGTATCAAAATACATAATATGCAGAATAAGGTGATTAAGAAGGCAAAGAGAAATATTAAAAAAAAATTCATTAATTGTCATAATTAAATTTTAATAAACATTTTTTAAATAATTGTTAACGTAACGAAACGCATAAACAACATGTTATATTATTATGTTTATATGTAAATAACTAACACTTAATGTATAACATCACATGAGATGTAACACAACAAAGATTACATCGTGTTACGAGATCACATTATATTTTTTTTAATTCTATTTTATTTCTACTGAATATATTTATATGAATAATATCTAGGATTTTAAATAAAAAATCATTTTTAATAAAAAATGTTTTCACATATTAGTTGAAAATTATATTTTACACTTATTACATTACTTGTTACTTTACATTTTTTATTTTTACACTTAAAAGAGGAACAATTTATAATCGTGTCCTTACTTTGGGACAAAATTTAGGACGAAGAGTTAAAATTTCAGACTGTCCCTCGTAATTTGAGAAGGTTTATCACTAAGATATAGAATTTCTTGTTAGAATGAGATAAGACTTATTGTTCATCATGTTTGAGATTTTTATGTAATTATTTTGATATTCAACAAAATACTTTAGCAAAAAATTATTCTTTTGATGTTCTGTACAAATGTAACATTTATTCTCAATATTTATGATTTTTTTCTTTTAACGCTTTTTTGCATCTTTCCTTTTTGTGAATGATATTAAATCATGATAAAATGGGATGTAAAAAACTTCAATAGCTGATTCGATAGAAGCGCAATTTTTTGCTGAAAAGAGACTTATATAATTATTATAAAGCAGAGAATACATTTAATGTTTTCGCTGAATTGAAAGAAGTGCGATTCAATGGTAATAGAAAAAACATTTGCAAACTTGAGTAAATTTTAAATAATTCCACGTAACTGATTCCACAAAGTCAGCGAGTAGATTTGCTATTGAATATGCTACGGAAACATAACTCGTAGTACGGATATAATTTTCTCTTTCTCCCCCTCCCAAAAATCAAACGCTATATTTAACATGTCTTGCGAAGTGCATTGCATCATGTGGGCGATATTGCAGGTTGTGAAAAATCGACGATTACGGAATTTTTTCGCATGTTACCTTCGCGAAAGGTGATTCATCGATCTCGAAACATTGCGAAGGAAAAACGCGCGCGGTTGATCGAAGGATCGGCGATCAGCATTTAGAAGAAAAGGACGGAATATCTCGTTAAAAAGATGAAGCATGAGGGAAATTGTTCAACGGCGGAGGATTCCAATGGAATTTTGTTGCAACCTAGAAAGAACTCGGCGGTGCGGCTACAAATCATGCAACCAAAGACGATTACGCATTTGCCGAAAAGACCACCGGTCGACCTGGCATTCACCGATCTTACGTATAAGGTCCGAGAAGGTCGCAAAAATAGTGAGTACATTTCTACCTCTATTAATTAGTATCTATTAACTAGTAATTAAAACTGACGTGTTTTAACTTTTGATTGAGGCAAGTGGATTAATATAGCGAAATGTTATGAAAGAATTGAATGTCGAAAAAAAGGAAATTTCTCCGCTTTTTTTATTATGTTATTACTCGGGTTATTGTGACATCTTTTCATAATACTACGCATATAGCACATTTCATACGTTCATGTGTTTTGTGATTTAACGTGCAAGCAAGGAGCGTTTATTTTTGTTGTTAGGATATTTGTTTTTAATAAAATCTGCTGAACTTCGAAATTCAGATTTTTGCATTGTAAATTGTTATATCATTTTTTAATAAGCGACACACACAGTGTTTCTGCGAATTATCACGAATTTTTTACGAATATTTAAAGAATCAAGATGACTTCATTCTTTATTGATTCTTCCGACATGAATAAATTAAACATAATATATTCATACAGTTACTTGTATATAATTATAGCTTCTAATAATATTTTATTCACGTGTGTAGAACGAAGAATCAATTTTTCTTTATATTCCATAATCGTTGCAGTTTAACGAATATTTTTTATCTAAATCGATCTGAGATTTTCGTAATCCAATCCCCAACGCGTGGCCGACTTTATGTTAGGATTAATTGGATAATATTCGATTGGGTAAGTCAATGAGATTTTTAAAAATCCACGATAAAACTTAGCTGATAGAAACGGAAAGAAAAGCTAACATTCAGAGCGTAACGTAACATTTAATATCTAGCCGATTAATTGGATATGATAGTACATTATTATAGAATACGATATTATAGAATAGTGTCACACAAGAAAAAGTCGTGAAACCGCAGAAAAGATTATTTTATAAATTACACAGTATGTGAATGTACTTGAACTGCATTCCAAATGTTACATTATTTGACTTCAGCACGGACTACGGTCTTTCTAGAAATTTCGCATTCGTCCAAGTTCTCGCTATATAATTACCATAATTGTTTAGTAAACATATTTAAACTAATGAAAATTGGATAGCTTCCTGTATCGAGCATTGAGGAACACTCGTAAATATTACAAATTATCATTACATATTATTTATTTTCGCGTAAAATAATTTGCTTAATTATGTATATAATTATGCATAAAATTTTCATAATATAATACACTTTATTACGTTAACTTTCATCCAGATTATAATACAAGTTAATAAATATCTATGCAACTAGTTACAAGTTATTTTCGAAGAATACAGAAGCATGCATACGTATTTAATACGTCCAATGAAATTAGATGATAGAATACTGTATGCAAGGAATTTTCAGTGAATATTTTAAAGCATCATTGAATGTTCGTGTATAATAATTTGCCATTAGAATTAGAAACGTTATATATCGAAGCTTTATCTCTACAGTAGCTCGAATGTTGCTAATAGTGAGCGACAACCAATCTTCATATGAATCATACTTTTATTTATTCTCTAAATCTTTTGGAGTAAAAATTGAGTCAGTCTTAAAAAAAAGTGAAGAAACTTTTCACTCTTAATCAAGAGTGACTGATTTTTACTGTTTTTGGAATAGTAGTTTACTCTTTTGGAATGAAATTCACTGAAATCTTGCTCCAAAAGAATAAAATCTCACTCTTAAAGAATGAAAATCTGCCACACTTGTTCAAGAGTGACTCAATTTTCAGTCTTTTTGGAGTGAAAGTTTCCAAAATTAGGAAGTATGATATATAATCCGACTTTTTTTACAATTATTTTATTTTATTATCTGTTAGAAATTCTATTAGATATGTCTATTAGATATATTCTATTAGATATATCTAAATTCTATTAGAAATTGAACTAACTATTCACTCTCTTTCTTTCTTTCTTTCTTTTCAGTTTGAATTGATTTTAGTTTTCTCATTTCTCTGCAGACTGAGATTTATTTTTACATGTAAATCGATTTTTATAACTAGATTAGATATGTTTAATTTGTTTCCGAGTTATGGGAAAGCAGAATATAATGTCGATTTAAAAATGCTTTTTACAAGCAACAACGTGCCTCTCTATTATCAACAACAAAGGTATTGTTTAACTTACTTCGTGAAAATGATGTACCTATCGCGTAACTATCTTTCTAGCATCGACCAATTATCCGATATTACATAGTTAAATAATGTATCACGTGAATATCTGATGCGATAGTAGATAACTATTGTTCGAAAACACTCGAGCGAATGTCTTTCGAATCATTTACACTCATCAAAAGAATATAGGATTTTCTTTTTTTTTTCTCCATCTTCTCGTATACAGGAACCAGTCGGCGCTGTTCGTATTACAAACTGGTTTCCGATGACATTGACCGTCGAGTGAAAGTGCACCGCTTGCGTGCCAAACACGTCAAAGAAATGCATGTTCAAAGAAAAGCAACACGACGCAACGGCGTGGCAATGGACGCGAATTCTACGTATTCCCCGAGTACAGTCCCGGGTATCTCTTATCATCGTGATACAGCATATGAGAGAGATAACGCTGGAATGCGACGCACCAAAGCGAAAGAGACTTGTGAATAGCTTCACTTCATACTTTAAATTAAACATAAACGTCTAGTAGACCATCTGACTCACTATATATTGACGCTATGCAATTCACGCAAGCTAAACAATACCACCTGTTGTGTAGAGTATCAATGTTGTATCTATGCTCCAAATCGATAATCTAAATGTTACTATACTTATTTATGTGTTATAGGAAGTCATACCAAATATATACCTACGCACAACCCATTTACTCTAATTGTATTGCGACCCTTTGTATTGCGATCAGACTATATTTAACACGCGACGTTTCGTTACATATTTTATGTGTGTTAGGTATACATACGTATCATAGATTACGTTGTATATTTCGATTATTTATAGGCTGAAAACATGACGCATTTGCCTCTTATAGCTCGCATGAAAATACTTCCGCAACGAATCAGTCTTTACGGTATTAAAAAAAGTATCGATCGGGGATTAGAATCGATCGTTTTCAATGCTATTTATTGACATTTTCGTTATGATAGAATCAAGTTACTGGACAATCGGATAATTGTCTTTATTTATTTTTTTTTTTTTATTTGTATGAGCGCAACATTTTGATTCGTAGTAAGTAATATGAGTAACGTGCATGTATTTCTCCGAGTTCCCAATAAGGAATCCATCATAAAAGGAATAATTCGACGTACTCGTTTCTTACGAGTAGGGTTAGTGATCGCAATTTTGCAGGAAGGCCGATGCAGCATGATACTTCAGAGGTTTCCGATGTACATCAATTACGTCGGAATACCTATAATTTTCGAACCCAAAGAAACATACAAATCTCAATTTAATCATACGCGTGCATCTCGAGTGCATCTAAGATTATTTTTAGAAAAAGTTTTAAGAAATGGATGATTTTTTTCAAGAAATGGGATACGTTTCTCTTTAATTTACTCGAAACGCCTGCTTGAATCGATATATATATATATATATATATATATATATATCGATGTATATAGTATAGATAGATAAACGTACAATAATACAATAATATCGAGTGGTAAATATCATTGGAGAGCCTTTGTTCCGTCTTATCGCGTACGCGAAGCAAATCGCTTTATTTGAAATGATAAAATTCCATTTCACTGATATTATCCGCGAATCATCGTTTCTTTGGATATTCTCGAAAGTAATTCATTCTAAAAGTATCAGAGAGACTTTGGATTTGAATATCAATCATTTGCTCTTTGATAATTAAACAAGGAATTATCATTAAATAAATGTTTGAAACAAATCACGAAGATACGTGGTATCGATCAATCATGCATCGTGTCATCGATCGTGAAAATCAAAATATTTTTTGCAATGCGCCATTAGGGATATCATGTCTCGGCGCGGGAACTGAAAATCCAACGGCCTTCAGAACGCTATTTAGAACCTATAATAAAGACTACATAATTCAAGACATAATACTATTACATTATTCTAGTAATGCTATCTTGCGGAGACACCTCAGTAATAATACTCATCTTCCTGTCGAAGATGAGTATCGATTAAGTAGCGGACGATGGCGCGTCATATTTTTTTTATTTTTTTTCCTTTTCCGGTGATAGACATTACGCTTGGCGGATATTTCAATTGTTCGGATGCTTTCGTAATTTGGCACGGACGAGCAAGAAATATCATTCGTTTAATGTACAACATTATAGAAAATCATTGTTTGTTCGAGACTGAGGAAACACGTATTACAAACAATAATAATTGTCATAGCTAGATAAAGATACAGAGTGATATTTCATTATGTTCAATAATTCTTATCTTGGAACACGTAATTATAGGTATGCACTTGTGGATGCATGTACTTTGATGATTTTCTCTTTTAAGATGTCTCTTCGAAAACTTACCTAATGAAGACTGCCATTAAGAAGATATTTCAAGTTCACCTATACACTGTTAGAAAAATGTTCTTGAATTTCATTAACATTTTATGTACACTGTTAAAAATTTCATGACATTACATTAAATTTAATGTACTTATAACTAAAAAGTATATTTGTATACATGTACATTAAATTTAATGTAATGTCATGAAATTTTATGAAATTTAGTGTTTACATGTTTATTATATTTAAGTAATTGCTATAATTTAGTTTTTAGTTAAATCATTCGTTATTTTTAATTTGTTCATAACAAACTTTATTTATATGTAAAGAAAACATTTCTAAAAGTACTTTTAAAAATGTTATGAAATTTAACGTATTTTTTTACACAAGTTAATTTAATTTAATGACATTACATTAAATTTAATGTTCTTATAATTGAAATATTTGTGTATATGTACATGAAATTTAGTGTACTTTCCATAGAATTTTATGTGGATTTGTATGAAATTTAATGCACATGTGAACATTAAATTTAAGTTACTTGCAACTTTATTTTTAATGATAATATTAAATGTTTTGAATCTTATACTTGCTTCAAATTTTCTTCC